GGTGGGAGCACAGGGTCCGGCACAAGCTGTTCTTGCGCCGCGGCCTCACCGAGGCGGCGCCCTCGGCTAACCCGAGGGCGCGGCCACGGCGCCTGAATGCCACCAGCCCTCTGGGCGTCGGTGGTTTAGGGAGTTTCCTCTTCCACCCCTCCTTCTTCCCCTTCGGGGAAGGGTTTACCCCTCCCCCTACCCCCTCCCCATGGACCTGGACGGGGGGTTTCGCGAGTCGTCGGAGCGTCCAAAACGGCCTCGGCGAGGACGCCAAAATCATTGTTTTTACTACGGTTTTGGCCCCAGTTTGGCCTCCTGAGGGGGGGCCCTAATTAAAGCCCCCCTGTTGTTTGATCGATCTCCTCCAAGATGGCCCCAAGAAGCGCCCAGGAGGCCCCGAGAGGTCCCAAGATGGCACCAAGAGGCCCGTAAGAAGCCCCAAAAAGGATCCCAAGCGGCCCAAAGAGGCCCCCCCGAGGCACCCAAGACGCCGAAGAGCCCCCCACGACCGCCAAGAGATCCCCAAAACGTCCCAAAACGCCCAAGAGATACCCCAAACAGCTCCGAAAAGCATCCAAGAGGCCTCTGGCCCTTTTGTTTGCTCTCCTCCTCCTCCTCCTCCTCCTCCTCCTCCTCCTCATCATCATCATCATCATCATCATCCTCCTCCTCCTCCTCTTCCTCCCTTCCCTTCTCATCCTCCTCCTCCCCCATCCGCCTCCTCCTCCTCATCCTATTCATCCTCCTTCTCCCCACTCCCTCATCCATCCATCAAATTTCCTCCTTCGCCCCATTTCCTTCACACGGTTCGGCCGTCCCCCTCTTTGCTCCTGCACTTCCCTGATCACCTCTCAATTCGCCTGGACATCGTTTCTGGATGGGCTGGTGGGGATTTTTTTTGGTCAGCGGCTCCGAGGCGGCGGACACGGAGCGGAAGGCGTCGACTGGGCCAGCAGGCGAGGCGAATTACTACAACAGGCAACACACCTGCAGTAAAAACATGCCAAGAATCTAAGTACACGTGCAATAAGCAAAATGCTCCTCATTCGGCAGCGGAGAGTCGCCCTGTCGGCGCCAGTCCTCAGGGCCCCGTAGACCCGGACACGCTAGACCCAGACACCCAATATCCCTCGAAACCAATTTTTCCAAACGGCGGCACGAACAAAGTACTGCACTGCAGCATTTCCAAAATAAACCCGGACACAAGCCTCAAAAGCCTGCAAGAACCCCCTAAGCCCGGACACAATCGCGAATCCTGCAGTGCAGCAAACAAAACATGCATGGGTGCTGAAAAACGTGACTTTGCAGGAAAGGATGTCGTTTCCTTGGTTTTCCGTGTGTCCTGGTTTATATGTGTCCTGGTCTCCGGGGGCCTGAAGTCCGCGCGGCCGACCTATCCTGGACAGGTAGTACCGAGGTACCACAGCCGTATCGATGTCGGCTAAGACAGGGGCAGAAGAGGCAGGAACCTACAGAGTGCTCACTCCACGATCCACACCGTCGCCCATGGTGGGGCCGGCCAGCCAACGAATCCGAAACCACTCAGGAGTCTGAAGCCACGATGATAGGACACGCCTGCCCAAGCGTCAATACTGCTGCCATCGGGTAACGGGCGAGGGCTGCGGAGGTACGCTGCAACCGCTGCCAGCTTGAAGGCGTAGGGGTGTAGCCAAGACTGGACTTGCCACAACAAGACCACAATGAGAGCCGGTGAATTGCAGGTACCAGAACCGCCCACACACTCCGCGGACCGCTCCACTGCTGGGAGGGGGGGCCGGCGTGTCGTCATCGTACCGATGCCAGTGACAGGTCGGGGTCGCAACGATGAGCAAGAACACGCTGGCACGAGGCCGGTGTACTGCAGCTCGCGGATGCCAGATGCAGATAGAACCGAGCCGACGCGTTGAAGGCTGAACCACTCAGCGCGAGGACCGTACCACCCCCGTGTGCGGGACCGGCTGGGACAGAGGCAGAAGGAAAATGGGGGTTTAACAGAGCCCTCACTCCACGATCCACGCCGATGCCCATGGTGGGGCCAGTGCGCCAGCCATCGTCTATGGACACAGCCAGGAAGCAACGATGGACGAGGACGCGAAGGCCCATGCGCCAGTACTGCCGCCAGGCGGAAACGGCCGAAGACCGCCGAGATACGCTGCAGCCGCGGCTAGCACGAAGGCGCTGGGGTGTAGTCAGGGCTGAATATGACTTCAGAGGGAGCCGGGCGACAGAAAATACCAACGGAGCGCCCACTCCGCGGACCACACTGCAGCCCGGAAGGGGCAGGTGTGCCGTCATCATACAAAACCAGTGACGGGACCGTACCAGATGAGCGAGGACACACTGGCCCAAGGGCTGGTCTACTGCAGCCTCGCAGGTATCGGGCACGATACGCTGAGACCCACGGGGCAGAGAGGGGGGGGCGCAGCCAACAGCCGCAAGGGACACATGCGAGGGAAGGGAGAGGAGGAGGAGGAGGGTAGGCGCGGCCAACAGCCACATTCACATATGCATTGACGCAGGAGGAGAGGGGTGCCATTTCCCACGACAGTGGCGGTCTCATGGGGGGGAGACCCGCCACTGCGCTGGGCGGTACGGGCGCCTGTCCCCATGGTGGGTGGACAGCGCAATCCGCATCAGTGAGCTGACTAACCTCCTCATGGCCCTTTCTAGCATTCCCGACACTACCGCTTCGCGGTACTAGGGGGGGGGTCTGTGGGCTGTACACGGACCTCCGTTAACTGAGTGGTGCGCAGTGGGAGGACTATTCCAGTCAACTGCCCTCTGCCGATCAAAGTGGCTGTCGGGAGAGGCTGGTGGTGATACGCGAGGCGTCTAGAATTCGACGTCTGGGACGCGATAGGCATCGTCCTCATCAGCGACCTCCTGGGCGTGGTTGGGCAGGCACCTCAGGATGATTTGCGCCGCTCGCCTCCTCCTCCTCCTCCTCATCATCATCATCATCACCATCAGCAGCAGCAGCGGCAGCAGCATCATCAGCATCATCATCATCATCATAATCATAATCATCATCATCATCATCATCATCATCATCATCATCATCATCATAATCATCATCATCTTCACCACCATCATCATCATCATCATCATCATCATCATCATCATCATCATCACCATAGTCATCATCAGAATCTTCCTCATCATCCTCATTATCCTCATCCTCACCCTCCTCCTCCTCATCGTCATATTCATCATCATCAGCAGCGGCAGCGGCATCATCAACAACAACATCAGCATCCTCATCATTATCATTATCCTCATAATCATCATCATCATCATCATCATCATCATCATCATCATCATCATCATTGACGGCCAGGTCGCTACCAACACTGACGGCCAGCGCAACGTGGGCTGTGCTGTCCTATACGAGTGTGTCCGCACCATTGCTGCCTCCCACAACTGCGCCAATGATGGTCTTCGTCAACCTCCTCCTCCTTCTCATCATGATCATCAGCAGCATCATCATCTGCATCATTGGCATCATAATCTTCATCGTCAACACAACCATCACCATCGTCATCATCAACATGATCACCACCACCATCAACACGGTCATACTCAATCTTTATCATGCCACCGTGCTTCTCTCCCCCTCTGAGGCCCTCTCACTCTTTCATACCTCCGTCTCTCCACCTCCTCCTCCTCCTTCTCCTCGTTCCATTGCACTTGCATAATACCAATTAGACATATCCCCTGACAACGCCTCGCGATTCACCCACCACCACTTCTGCGCATTTCCCCAAACAACTTGCCTGTCAAAGCCCAACGTACGTTTACGTAGGCCAGGTGTGAAATCCTGCGGATCTGGAATCGGTGGATCGGTGGCCCATGTTCCCCCGTGTGGTATCCCGTATGGTCTGACGTATGGTCTCCCGCTTGGTCCTCCGTCTGGTCTCCCGTTTGCCTTATGATATCCATTATGGCCTCCTTTATAACTGGTATTGCGCATCCGCCTTCACCAACAGTGTACAAACGCTCCCGTTTCAGATTGCGCTGTAAGAACGTTCCCGTTCCCGTTCCTGTATCTGACATTTGATATGAAAGTCCTTCGACACCCCAGACGGCTGATAAAAAAAGACTCCTTTGAATGGGAAGGGATTGGTAGGATGTCAATCGTGTTGCGGGCACACCTAGCTTTTTCTCATCTCGCATACAGCCTCCCCCATCCTCCTCCTCTAAAATCACTCACTCATCACCACCACCATCGTCACCACAACCACCATCACAACCACCACCACCACCACCAGCACCGTCACCATCACCATCACCATCACCATCATCATCATCATCATCATCATCATCATCATCATCATCATCATCATCATCATCATAATCACCATCGTCATCATCAGCATTAGCATCATGATCATCATCAGCATCATCAGCATCATCAGCATCATCGTCATCGTCATCATCATCAGCATCATCAGCATCAGCATCAGTCTCAGCAGCAGCATCATCATCATCAGCATCAGCATCAGCATCAACATCCGCATCATCATCATCATCATCATCATCATCATCATCAGCAGCATCATCATCATCATCATCATCATCATCATCCGCATCCTCATCCTCATCATCGTCATCCTCATCCTCATCGTCGTCGTCATTGTCATTGTCATCGTCCTCGTCATCGTCATCGTCATCGTCGTCGTCATCATCACCATCATCAGGAGCCTCCTCGGAACCATGGGGTGACAGCCCACAACGACTTGGACAGGGGCGACGCCCAGGCGCAGGGAAGCCACGAGGGACGCCGATGTCTGCGCCGCCTCTCTGAATACGCACAGCACGCGTGTTCGCACAGCGGGGGGGGACCAGCCGCGGGTGGTCCACGGCTTGCCAGCCGACGAGACAGCCAGGCAAAGATTCACCTTAGACGCTCGCTCATGGGGCCCTTCCCGGAGCCACTCGCTCGACTCATGCGTCGATGCTGCGTCGAAGGTCCGCCGACTTGAGTCGAGCCAGGGCCGATCTTGAGTCGAACTAGAGTCGAGCTCGAGGCGAGCTAGAGTCGAAGAGATCCGCCCGGTTGGCCCCTGAAGAGTCCCCCGAGGCGAACATCCCCTTCGACCCGTGCGTCGAAAGTCCGTCGACTTGGGTCGACGCCCCATCCATATCCACCGCCTGGGAGCCGACGTCCTGGTGCCCCCGCGGGCGGTGGATGAGGATATCTTTTTGGCCCCACGGGGCCCGAATCTGTCCATATCCACCCACCGCCTGCCGAGGTCCCCGAAAATTGATCCTCCAGGCGGTGGTCACGTAGAAAAAATCCTGCCTCCGAGGCCCCCCCTCGCGGCCTCGCGCCCGCAGCCTGCGTGCCGGCGAGCGACGCCGCCGAGGGCGCCGCCGCGAGCGCCAGCACGCACACAAACGCCGCCCTCGGCACAGCGCGCATGACCCCTGAGGCGGACGGGTGGACATCCGTGTGATGACGAACGGACAACACACACAAACACACACACACACACACCCGTAGGGGGGTCGGCGGGAAGAGGACTTGCTATGGGTATGGGTGCGGGTTGTCGGACCGCGGGGGAGGCTCCCGTTCGAGCGGGGACCCCCATCCGACAACACATACCCATAGCCCCCTCCGTCCTCCCTATGGGTATGGGTACGTGTTGTTCCTTCGTCATGTGAGGCGGGGATGTGCCCATATCCACCGCTTGAGCAAGGACCAACCGTCCTGGCATGGCCACAGGCCTGCCACGAAATTCTCTTAGAACCCAATAAGGCTCGAAAAACAAAAGCCATACTGTATGATAAAGCACGATGTGTACAACAAACCAGTCTCAAACAGAACTGTTCTGAGAACATTCCGTGCAAGCCTCAAAAGGGTGGGACTGCAGGCAAACCAAGACGCGTCGCCACTGCGCGAACCGCCTGGGAACCGTCGCCCTGACAACCCGGCGGGCGGTGGATATTGAGATGTTCGGCCCCGGGGGGCCAGAATATGCCCATGTCCACCCCCTGCCAAGGACCGCGAAGATCGATTCCCCAGGCAACGGTTCTGGATAATCCCCGCCTCGGCATCAGGAGGTGCCGAGAGGAGGAGGACAGGGGCAGTCAGCATCGGATCGGACAGCCACATCGGGTTCGCGCATGATCTGCGAGGCGGTCAGGATGGCGTCAGGGGAGCGGGTGCCGAGGTGCTGGGGAGGAGGAGGCGGAGGAGGAGGCGGAGGACGAGCAGCATCGAATCTGAAAGGCGGATAGGATCGGAGCGTACCTCGGACCAGGCTGCATCGGAACGCAGCCGCAGTGGCATCGGATCGGCCGTGCCAGGATGCGCAGCAACGCCATGCAGACATCGGGCCGCATCGGGCCGTCGGAGCATCGGAAACGCGCTGAACCGAGCTGGCCAAATCCGGTGGTGTGGCCTTCGCCATAGTTCCTCCTCCTCCTCCTCCTCCTCCTCCTCCGACCTCGAACTATGTTACTCCTCCTCCACCTCCTCCTCAACCTCTTCCTCCGCCTCCTCCACCTCCTCCTCCACCTCCTCCTCCTCCTCTTCAGCCTCCTCCTCCTCCTTCTCCTCCTCTGCCTCGTCCGCCTCCTCCTCCTCCTCCGCCTCCTCCTCCTCCTCCTCATCATCATCATCATCATCTTCCTCCTCTTGGCGCATGCTCGGGCCAATCCGCTCCCGAACGGTCCGCGGCACGGTTCGGGTGAGGCCGTCTCTCATATGCCCCGAGTCAGGGGCCCGGGACCGCTGCTATCCAGGATAGTTCGGGCGCCAAAGTATCTGGGGCACGGTCGCGGCTGCTCGGAGAGGACACGCGAGAGGACACGAGACACCTCCGAGGGCCACGCTGCCACAAGCATGCAGGAGGCATGGGGTCGCGACGCACAGGACGCAGGGGTATACACCCTTGACTTGGCAGGGTCGACCTGCCGATCGGCCCCGCCTGTATACCCCATCGGACCCATGTGGTCACTTGCCTCTTCGAAGCCTCCAGGCACGCGCGAGGACTGTCTCATTCCCTCGCTCGCACCCTGGCAGGAGGAGCCCAGAACCGAAGCGTTGCGCCACCGAGCCCACATGGCACACTGAGGCGTGCTAGAATGCCAAGTGCTGCCTGGCAGGGTTTCTGCAGACTTCTAGGAACCACCCCCTCCCTCTCGTCACACTGCCCTGCATGCACGAGGCCACCATCCATCGCAAAAATTTGCGCTCCCGAGGCCAGCATGCCTCCAAGACGGTCCAGCATCCAGCATGGCTCCAAGACGGCTTACATTGGCATCAAGACGGCCCAAGCTGACTTCAAGACGGTCCCAGAGGCCTTCAGGGCGTCCCAAGAGTCCCAAGAGCCCTCACAAGAGGGCCTCGAGCGGAAAACAAATCAATGATGCTCCAAATATTGTTTTTCGTGTTGCGTCTCTCTCGATATTCTGCCTCAAATTTCTGCAAGAATACTTGGGGCGGCAAGCGCCGGCGAGAAAAATACTCCGCAAGAGCTGCGCTCCGAATTTGTCAAACCTCGCCGCTGTACTGGCAAGGCGGCTCAGACAGGACGGCGCGAGAGGCTTACCGTAGTGCATCCTTTCCGCCATCGATATCGAACTCCCCGACACTGGAGCGCCCATCGAAGTACTTCTCCCTCATAACCATCGCATCCCACGTGCCTGGCTCAGGCGTTTTCCGTTTCTCGAACGAACTCTTCATGGCCATCTCCCTCCGGGCGTCGTCCTCGTCTTCCCCAACGAGCCTTTGAAGCTTCGCTGTCCAGAAATTGCTCCATTTTCTGTTCATCTCGGGGTCCTCCGCGATGAGAGCTCGGAATTGCTTGAGAGTGAGCTCGCGAATGAGAGCGGACTTTGTAATGGGATCGTCTTCCTTGATGTCATACAAGCCCTTCAGTGGCACGTTGACAGTGTCGAGGCCGAGGAACTCGAGGAGCTCCTTTTGCTTATACTGAGCGGGATCCGCGAGGAAAGCTTCCATCGCCTCTACAGGCTGCTTATCCAAAGGGGCGAGGGGCTGAAGGTCTCGGGCTTTGCAGAACTCCTGCCAGCTCTGCTTCGCGTCGGGGTTGGTGGCAAGGTAGGTGCCGCACAAATCTCGCAACACCTTGCTGGGACCAGAATATCCGAAGCTGGTGCCGGCCATCGTGCCGCCGATTTGCGCCAGGCGCCTTGTAGCTGCCTTGGCGGTGCGGCTCGGCACAGCAACAGCAAAGGCGCGCGACAGCAAGGGCTCCCAACTTCGCGCTTCGCGCTGCGCGAAGTGCGAATAACTTCGCGCTCTCGCGCCACCCCCCCAAAGGGAGAAAAGGAGGACAAGGAGGAGGAGGAGAAGGAACGAGGACCGCGAAGCGCGAAGCGCGAATAACTTCGCACCCTCGTGGGAGCCCTTGGACAGACACGGCAGCGGCCAGCAGATGCGCAAAGCGAAAGGTGCGAGGAGCAAGAGGAGCAGCCGGGGGCGTCTCCTCTCCGCACTCCTGGGCGCGCACGCCTCGCGCGACATGCAGTGGCCGACGGGGCGGTCCGCGGCTTCTCCCTGCTTTCTAGCTTGCCTCCTGCAAATTCGAGCCAACAGGCCTTGAGCCAAAATGGCTACGAAATCCATGCTCCGAATACTGTTCAACATTTATTGGTTCTCGCCTTTTCGAGCTGCCGACTCTCCGAGACACGGGCCTCAAGACGGCCCAAGAGGGCCCCACGAAGGGCCCAAAAGGAGGAACACGAACCGACAGTTCGACCATTCCGCCCCATTTGTGAGGTTCTCGCCTTTTCGAGCTTCCGACGCTCCGCGACGGCCCATGAGGCTCCCAAGACTGCCCCGAGACGGCCCAAGAGGCCCCCATGAGGGCCCCAAGACGGCCTACGAAGGCTCCAAAGCAGCCTAACGGGAGCCGAAGACGCTAAGGGTGCCCAAATGCGGCCCCCAAAAAGGCCCAAGAGGGGGAGCACGAACCGATAATTCACGCCTTCCGCCCCATGAGGCCCCGATGAGGCCCCGAGGAGGCCCCAAGAGGCCCAAACGAGACCCCCAAACGACCCCCGAGAGGCCCAGAAGAGGCCCCAGGACAGCCCTACAGAGGTCCATGAGGGCTCCTCAAGAAGTGGAGACGAAATATGCCACATTTGACGGCGCTCCTCCTCCTCCTCCTGCTCCTCTTCTCCTCCTCTTCTCCTCCTCCTCCTCCTCCTCCTCCTCCTCCTGCTCCTCCTCCTCGAGCGCGCAAGCGAGGATGATCAGCGGAAGCTCGTCGCACCTGCTGGCCTCTGAGGGTGCGTGGGTCCGCTCCCGCCGGAGACGGCCCCCCACTGCCCAAGAAGCTCCCAGGCGGGCCCAGGAGGCCCTCCGAGAGGCCCAGGCACTGTGGCGAGATGGGCCGCAGGCGAAGGGTCTTCGCGCGCATGCTCACAGACGATTGCGTGACTGAAGACGCACGCGCCCGCAACCGGCTGGAGCTCAAGATTGCAGCACTCCTTTCACACGCTCGAGGGCCGCCCGAAATGGAACCGACCTGGTGCAATTCCTCGAGAACTTGAAAACACGGAGTAGTAACTGGAATCAAACTTTGAACGCACGTACCGAATCACCCACATGGGCAAACTCAGGACGATTGACGTAGAGGATGGTCTCGTAACTCGATGAGACGCGTGACGTGGGCCACTAGACTAATTTGAATAACGAGAATGTTGCTGCACTAGTCTAAATGTGTACGTAAAACCTTCCCGTCTCAATCGTGTTCTCGAGCTCTGCTGGACGGTCTTAGACCGGATGATAAATTCGCAAGAATGGTGGCAGCGACCGGATGCATACTTGACAGAAGACGGGGGCACGGGGGGAAGGGAGAGAGAGGAGCGAAGGGTAGGAGGATGAGGACGACGAGGATGAGGACGATGAGGACGAGGTGGAGGAGCAGGAGGCAGAGGCGGAGTCAAAGGAGGGAGGAAGCAGACGAGAAGGACGAGGATGACGAAGGGGGCGGACTAAGAGGGCGGACGAGGATGAGGAGACTGCGGGGCCGGAGACACCAGGTGAGGCGGCAATGAGCGAAGGAGTCAGACGTGCGTGCGTGTGGTGAAAGACGGCTGAAGGCAAACATGCGAGAATCATTCGCGCACTCTTGTCAACGAATGGTCTCCATCATCGCGTATTTAAATGACATGGGGTCTGACACGATGGCATCCGCGGGACGCCACTAATGTGGCACGGCACGCGAAAAAGAGCACGCTTTCGCGCTATTTTCATTACGCGGGTGTAAAAATAAATACGCATAAACATAAACTTTTGGAGGTCCGTGCGGATTTCTTGAATCTGCGCTGTACCCCTGGACACCCCTCCCTCGTGCGCGCCAGGGGCGGCACCGGAGGCGCCGTCAGCGGGACCCAGCGCCGATCCACGAAATCCGCGCGGACCGTCGAAAGCTTATGTTTGCGCAGGCTTGCTCTTCTTCGATGCTCGCGGTCTTACAGGGGCAGCTCACGCGCCGCGCGAACGCCCGCGCAGTCGACCCCCCTATTCGAGCATCGCTGAACCGATCCCCATCCCCATTGGTCACGTAGCTTCTCGTCTCTATCAGGGGGGTGTAGTGACCGAAGCTGTGCCCGAACATCTGCCCTGGTGTGACCAAGACTGCCGCCAGAATTCGTCCGAACGTGCCCGAGTGTAACCGAATTGTTTGGGCCGACGTCAATATGATGTTCAAATTCGGTCACAGTTTGGGTCACACAATGTTTCCTGTTATAACTTCGAGCACGTGTTTAGTGACGTATTGTTTGATCACAGAACGTTTTGGCTGATAGGGGCCAGAGGCCATGACAATAGCATGGCCTGGGCCCCACTGGCCGACTTGCCCGCCTAGGTGGGAATATATGATGTCCCCTTCTGGTGTCGAAGACCGTATCCCATCTTGGGGGGTGGCTGCCCTGGCTTCGGATCCGCCGTACTTTGGGCGATCTCGGAGGTAGGGCGTAAATGTCCGCCCTACTGTTGACATGTTTTAGTGTACACTTCAAACATCCGCCCTGCTTTGCCATCGCCGTTTCTGCTGTACTTCTGCTTACTTATCGGGTCTCCTTTTTCTGAGGCGGAAATTTCCGCCTCATTTACTCGAGTCTCTTGGGATGCATCTCCGAAGGACAAGTCGGAACATCAACCAAAGAATGGCGGATCCGAAGTCATCGTGGTGGGGCTGCGATACCATCTGGCCGCACGAAAAAGTCGTTCGCAAAAGAGTGCTGGCAAATCCGCTCCCGGCGCCTCCTGGCGCCGGAGGCGTCCACGTATCGAGGAGTACGCCTGGCGGCGGGGCCGAAGCAAGCTGTGTGCAGCAGATATCGTAATTGACCCGCGCCCTTTCCCAATCCCCCCTTTTGTCTGGCCCATGATGAGGATGAGTTAGGCGATGCTGCGGAGACAGCGAGCGACCACCACCACATAGAGGACGCACCCTGGGGGATATTTTGGGCATGCAAGCAATCGTCAGAACACCAAAACCAGCTTAATACTGGTTGTGGTCGACGTGGGCATCCCAGACGGCCAAATCGACCACAACGACAACCAAAGTGCTCGTGTCGACGTCGGTGGACTCCCCCCCGAGGGGCCCTCCAGAAGAGTCCACTCAATTGTGGTCGTGGCTCTTTGCTGTGCCCCGAGATGCTGACTTGTCACGCCGTCCACGTGCCCGAGCCCAAGACGACGCCGACCGCCCGAGCGCCTGCAGGCTCCTCGGGCCAGGGGCGGCCTGGCAGAGTGATTTCGCTCGCGGGTCGATGAGAGTCTCGTTCCCAGCGGCTGGGGATTGAGCCGCTGCTGCGCGCCAGACCCGAATGCCATCCCCAACATTCCTCCTCCTCCCCCCCCTCTTCCTCCTCCTTATCCTCCTCTTCCTCCTCCTCCTTAACCTCATGCTGCAGATAATAAAACCCAAGAGATAATAAAGTTCGGGGTTTTCGGGGGATAATCAAAGTTGCCCGCCAGAGCCAACATAAAGAGATATCAAGAGGAAAAAGCCAAAGATGTCTTGAGAACCCTTGGCCTTTGGTCCTCTATGAGACATCCTCAACAATGATTTGTCTCGGTTGAGACATCCTCAACGACATCCCTATGGATTTTCCTACATCCCTATAGATTATTATATGAATACTTATAGAATTCGATCGATTCCTCTGGGTTTCTTTATACTCCTATGGATTCCTGGTAGATCTCTATGAGTTAATTATTATTTGTTATAGAATTTAATTGACGCTTGCGTCGGCCCCGTTAACGAGTTCCATGGATAGTAAACTCCAGCGATAAACAAGTTCAGGGGGGCAGGGGGAGGAGAAGAAAGATAGAGAGATACATAGAAATATAGAAAGAGAAGAGGAGGTAGAGGAGGAAGAGGAGGAGGAAGAGGAGAAACAGCAAGAGGAGGAGAGGAGAAGGAGATAGCAAAGATCCAAAGTTCAAAACTTATTAGATTTAATTTGTAAACGCTTAATGAAAATTAAAATTTTCATCTGCTCGTGTAGGGTAGTGTAGGGTAGCTCATCTGCCTCGGTTTCCTTGGATAATAAAGCACAGCGATAAACAAGTTCAGGGGCGACGGGGAGGAAGAGAAAGAAACATGGATCGTTTCGTTTGAGCCTACCTCCCGAAATTATTGGTTTCGCTTGAGACATCCTGAAAAAACGTGTTCGCTTCGCTTGATGCTGTCATCTCAACATGAGAAGGAAGTAACCTCGATGGCGAACTTTCCCAGTGATAATGAAGTTCGGCCTCCGCGCCCCCGCGCCCCCGACCAAACTCTTATTGGTCGACGGTAAAAAACTCTAACTACTTAATGGGGGGGTACATTATTATCGTGGGCATGGGGTTATCCTCCTCCTCCTCCTCCTCCACCTCCTCCTTCTCTCTCCACGCATTCTGCCCCTCCTCTCACTATCCACTACTCCTCTCTCCCCTCCTCCCGCGTCGCTTCCTCCTCCTCCTCCTCTCCTGGCATTTCTCCTCCTCCTCCTCCTCCTCCTCCTCCATTCCTTTTCCTATCTGTCGCACCCCGAGGCTGGCCGAAAGGGCGGGCCGGGAATGCGCCTGAGACTTCCTCACCATTCATGATCCTGAAGCTTGAAATTTGCAAGAGTCTCGCAGATGGAGAGCGGACTACGTTCAACATGTGGCTCTCGCCTTAACGCCGCGGACACTCGTCTTAAACATGTGCAGACATATCATGGATGAAGGCGGTCCGTGTTCAAAATGTGGCTCCCACTTTAGAGCCGCGTGCATTCGGTTAAAAAGTTTACAAGGATGTAACGGATGGAGGGCGGTTCCGTTTCAAGATGTGGATCGCGCCTTAGCGCCGCTCTCATTCGTTTAAGAGTTTGCAAGAGTTTAAAAGATTCTCTTGGTTAGCTTCCGAAAGATGTGTTTTGGCAAGATGTCGGAATGTCAGGCCGCAGCAATCACGTTAATTCGCGGTGCTGAAGTCCCAGGAACGGTTTCTCATACGACTTAGGGTCGTCGAAACGCGGCAAAGACGGTGATTCGCGGCGTTGAAGTCCCCAAGATTGCGTTCTGGAACAATTCCAAATGTTCAAACGGTTGTCTTCCAATGAGCATTTCCCTCAATGCAAATGAGTCCGTGTGCGAGCTTATGAAGACAGGAAC